GGGACATAATCGAGCATACTTTAGAGCTGAGGAAAATGTGGCTCCTTGATTGAAAATGTCTTTCCTTTAAAAATGCAATAGTTACCTCAACTACTGTACTGACATCGGGACCATGTGTTAATTATATAGGTAGTTTCTGTTCTTCTGAAAATGTTGAAAAAACACTGAAAAGAACGAAGAGATTTATAATAAAGATTATAAACGATAAATGATAAACAGTTGCATGGCGTAAATTCCCGCTCAATAGCAATCTCTATGCGCTTTACATTCTATTATTACCCCTGCAGACCAGATAGCATTCTGAGAGAATCTCAACTTTCTAGGAAGCATACACTGCAAGCAGCCATTTTTCAGACGCTAAAACATAATAATATGCAGCTTTTTGAATACTCAATCGGTACAACATCAGCATAGATAAAATACTGCTGGGAATGCTGTTTCCACTTACTGCTCGCTCTTACAATAAGAAAAAGTAAAGTTATTCCCGCATCCGATCCGGACATTGGGGATTGTCTTGAGACAACTTCCTGGGCCTTCGGCATATTGCGTGAGGGTAGTCATTTCCTTTCCACGCCGCCTTTATTTCCCCAACTCGAACTCAGGTACCTATAACTGCTGGGTGGGCAGGAGGGGGCAAAAAAATCCGTGTCCGAACCGAGGCTCGTACCTGGACTTTCCGCTTCGGAGTCGAGCGCACTAACCGCTCCGCCACTACACCCTCCTTACAATAAGTAGTTACCTTTATTCAAGTGATCTTAGCTTTCCGGTTGTTAAAAGGCCTGATCGTGTCTAGCAGTGCATATAACATTATGCTCTCTGCCCTCCCCCACCTCGAAAAGCGATGAGTATTATGAAATCTAATATACTTGACTGGTCGCCATGTCACTGTGCGAACGCATACCAAATTCGTTTAAGCAGTCGTAATGTTGGCAAACTGTTTAAATGTACTAAGTCCAGAAAGCAAAACTTTGCAGGAAAACGCAAAAAACTGTTTTATTCTTTTCTTAATTGTACCCATATTGTGTGTATTTTTCTTTTTCTTTTTTTTTCGTTTCAACAATTAGAATTTGAATTTTGACAAAACGTTTCTTGAGCACATACATCTGATATTACAGATTAAGAAATTGCGAGGAAGGGGGGTAAATTCAAAATTGTTGGCGTGATACATTATAACAGCTGGCCGACAATACGTTCCTTACACACTGTTTTGTACACGACGACGGCCTCAGGAAAGGAGACATTGGTAAAGGCGAAAAGAGGAACATTTCATGACGAGTGACAGCTTTGCTTGTGGACACCACGGCAAACATTTCGCTAGCTGTATTTTACCACATTTTCACTTTTTTGTCGTTGTTTTTGTCTTGACCGGTCTCTGACTGAGATTGAATCGGGACTTTCCACCTAAAACCTCACCTGGCCGAAACGCACAGCCGGGTGTGGATACAACTAACATCGTATCTGGTCTTTAACCCTCCTGAGCCTATTGCATGTGAACCATAGCATGTTTACTTTTGTCTGTCCGCGTAAAAAAAAAATTCTAGCTCATTTGTTAGATCTAATTTAGCTATGCCCTCGAAACGTTGTTTATGCAGGCAAAACAATTTTTTTTTCAAAAAGTCTTGATCTTGTATTTTAAAAGGGGTTACTATTTGGGCCCAATATTAGAAACCGCTCTGCAGGTGCATACACAGAATCACTAAAATAAATGACTTACAGTAACTTAGCCTACAAATTGCTCATTTTGAGACAGCAACACCACCCTGTCCCCACATTTCAGAGTTAGTTTGTACATTTCGTCCCACGATCGTCTAGAAGTCTCCACGTGAATCTCGAAAAGTACTCACCCCGGCTGTTGGACCATGTTTCTTAGGCGTACGTTAAAAAAGAATGTTGAGGAAAGTAGTACGTCAACATGTTATGTTTTAGGTGTATACTGTAAATCTCCTATCATTTTTTGACCTGCTTGAGGCTAACATCAAAGAAAACATGTCGGAACCTTAGACTGCATTGACCTTTATGAATGGGCACTAATTTATGTTGGTCATCCAACTTTTAGACCCGTATGCACAGATATGAGAAGGTTAAACAGGGCGATTTCATAATGTCTTGTTACCACGGTCAGACGAAAGTGAACAAGCTATAGCCCTCATAGAAAATCCCAAAGCAAAAATAAGACAAGAATGCACACGAGCACAAAACAGACAAATAACAATACAAAATTACAAAAACACCCCATCCCCTAAAAAGGGTGGAACAAAAAAAAACCCAACAACATCAAAAGAAAAGCTAGACTTTAAAAATAAAAACCACTAACAAAGCTCTCCGACCAAAGCCAAAAAAAAAAGACATCACAAAGTCTCTAGTGCGTTCAACTCATAGCCTCTGCCGAAGCACGTGTTTGTATCAAAGTACTAAACAACTTACAAAAGTAACTCTTTCAACGGTGAGTCTCTAAAAGACAAAACATGAACACGCAGCGTGTACACACGTTTGTTACTCTTCACATCATACTGTCCAAGACCACGAGTTGTCTCATTTAATCAACGGGGACATTTTCCACTATTACAGCCTTCATCAAGTTTCAACAACTGAACTGACTAACTTGTAAGTAGAGCAGTAAATAGAGCGTTCGTAAATAAATCGTAACAGCTTGGGCACAATAGTACGTGCAGTATTTGTATTATGTTACATCCATGGTTAATTTGAGATCCCTTCTACACAATGATTGTATAATTTCTCTTGCATCTATGCATTCTGTATCCATGCGATGTTTTAAACCTCCAACAGTAATGTTCTTCATCTCTTCGGGTGCGCTGTTAACTCAGCTGACATCTTGTTGAACTACGGAATGGGTGGCCCTAGTTAGAATCCTCAAAGGGGCGTTCTGAAAGTCCGTTGTTATGGGGAGTTCTTAAGGATCTCCACCCCTTCAGCTCGTTCCTATCGGAGGTGGGCGTTACATTCGAAGGCCCGGGAGGAATTCCGTATCGAGCTACCACTATGAAACAAGAGTAGAATAGAGGGTTTGAGGTCGTGGTAGGGGTAGGGGTTGGGTCAGGGTCAGGATTAGGGTTAGGTCTCTTCTTTGTTTGTTGGGTTACGGAAGTCTTTCCGAAGACCATGTATCCTAAATAACAAACGTTTAACGGCGTTGGAAGGGGTGGGGCATCAAACCTAAACAGTTTCGCCAGAATTCCATTTTGTCTTACAGCTTTGGCAAAGGCGAGTAAAGGTGTACTCGTGGTATCAAATTGTCAGTCAGAAACAGCTTTCTTTGGAGAGTCCATCGACGGCTATAAGTGCAAATACAATTGTATTGTCACGACGCAGTGGAATCAGGTGCTCGTCAAATTTGGGCATATCGAGTTGACATAATCTGAAAGCTTGGTTATCTGTCTTGTTTTTTAATTAATATTAAGGTATTTGCAGTTAAAGGAGGTGGGGTCGCCCGGTGTCAAAGGCAAAAGTACCGAGAAAATGGCCGCCAGAGTTTGGTGACATCTGAAGCTTAAGTGTCCTCGGAAACTACAAATTTATTTTTTCTTGTGCCTTTTATCAGCGTTGCTCAAACAAACTGTGTACATTTTTGTCTGTCGCACAAGTGTGTGCGACAACCAGATTTATATTTGTTTGGAGAGAAAATTCCTGTTAAAAAACAAGCTCGTTTCCTGGGCGTAATCTTCGACAATAAACTTTCATTCCTACCACACTTGAAAGACCTAAAGACGAGGTGCCAGAGTGCTCTCAACGCCTTAAAAGTATTATCCAATCCTGAATGGGGAGGAGATACTGAAATACTCCTTCAACTTTACCGTTCTCTTGTCCGTTCCAGGCTGGACTATGCCAGTCCTGTTTACGGATCAGCCAGAAAGTCTTACCTTAAAATTTTAGACCCTGTTCAGAACCAAGGCCTTCGCCTTGCCCTAGGCGCTTTCCGTACTTCACCTGTAGAAAGTTTACAGGCAGAAGCACATGAACCATCTTTGGAACTTAGAAGGAAAAAACTCTCTTTGCAGTACGCTTTGAAACTTAGCTCAGTACCCCAAAACCCAGCCCACAAATGTGTCTTTGGCCTTCCCGAAGACCTAAAAACCCTATCCTCCTTAGGAAATAAGGTAAGCCCTTTCGGAATAAGAATCCAGAACGATCTCAAAGACATTGATTTTTCTGAAGACATAATCGAGCCCTTTGCCATGTCCAGCATACCTCCATGGCATTTAACCAAACCAAACATAGATACTAGTCTTGAAAAACACAACAAAAAGTCCACAGACAAAACTATATACTTAAACTCATATAAACAGCTGATAAATAGATACCCTGAAGCAGAGAAACTCTTTACAGACGGATCCAAAAATGACTCCTCAGTAGGAGCTGCTGCCCTTGCATCGCCACACAGCTTAAGCCTAAGAAAACTCCATCCAGAAGCTTCAGTCTACACTGCTGAGGCTACAGCTCTTGAAATGGCCCTAAATATTATAGATCAATCAACCAAGTCTACCTTCCTAATCCTTTCAGACTCTCTCTCTTGTCTGAAATCTTTAGAGCGCTCTGACACCTCCGACAACAGAATTTTGAAACTTATCATTAAACTGCATTTTCTACATCAGTCTGGAAAAACTATTACAATAGCTTGGCTTCCAAGCCATGTAGGCATTGATGGCAACGAAGCCGTTGACCAATTTGCCAAAGAATCTCTAAAACTACCTGAAAACAAAAATAGTAAAATCCCTTTCTCTGACATAAAACCGAAAGTAAAAGAACACATCACATCCTCCTGGTCCCAAAGTTGGAATCAACAAATACACAACAAACTCCATTACATTCAACCGAAACTTACACCCAGGAAACCATTTTCTCTACCACGAAGAGAAAAAGTAATTTTTACCCGACTTAAAATAGGACACACGCACGTCACGCACAAACATTTGCTCGAAGGAGAGGAAGCTCCTTTTTGCGTGGCGTGCAACACAAATTTCACAGTTCGGCACATCCTAATGGAATGTGTCGACTTTAATTATGTCCGTGATAAATATTTTAAATGTAAAAATATTAAGACCCTTTTTAACATCATAGAACCTAGAAGAATTTTAAGTTTTATAAAAGAAATTGGACTGTTTAATAAAATGTGAAAATATATAGTTGTCGTTGTCGGTGTATATATACATACGCTGAGATTTGTATTGTATATACAAATGTAAATAAGCCTTTTCCATATTTACAAAAAATTTTTTTATAAATGTTTGTTCGTCTTTTTAGCATAATAGAAATAGTGTGATCGTTTGCGGTTGCGAGCTCCGAAAGACTCTTATTAAAAACACGTCTGATTTTGTAACGGTGAAACCTGATGGCGCTTAAATGACCAAAATTGTGTCGATAGTGCCGTAAAACATCTACCCAATCAATCAATCAGCGTTGCTCAGTAAAATCCACTCAGCAAAGTGTTCTTAAATAGACGTAAAAGGTATAGGGCCCAGAAAAAGAAATCCATTAAAAATTACCCAATTGAGGTTGGTTTCTTCAATTTCATTATTTTGACGAGCGCAGATTTCACCACGTTGTCACATAATTATTATTTTCCCTGCTTTCAATAAGCCATCAGAAAAGTGTCCAATATCGCTCAGGTTTTCATGTTAGAAGCGTGTCATTGCAGTTCTGATCATTACCAGAGAGGAGATGAATAGAAGTTAATCTTGTAGCTTCTGCGTGTAGAACAGTGACATCCCCTAGTTTTATGAGCATTATTCTGATATTATTGTCGAGGGTCATCGCATTTCACAGCTGCCACATTTCGATTTCCTGTGACATCCATTGTTGCATAGATCTGTTGTCGACACACAAATAGAACTATCCGTGTTGTTCAGCTGCAAAGTAGCCGAACTTTAGGACTCGAGCTCTCAACAATGTTGCTGTCTTAAAATTTAAAATTAGGGGGGGGGGTTGTTGGGGGGTTGTTGTTGTTTTTTTTGGGGGGGGATGGTGTTGAACTGAGCAGAAATTAAAAAGGTCTAAGTATATGATACATCTGACAGAATGTATGATCGTTACGTTGTAGTCGAACATGCACAAACTGGGTAATTACAAGTTATCCTTTTTAAAGTTTGAATTGTGAACCGGTCTCTAATTGTAGGAAGGTGGTTGGAAAGTGTCACCACCGGGGCCTACTTACTGCTTTCCTTCTGTTGTACTGGTATGAGATGTGATGGTACATGTTGGTGTGTGTGTGTGTGTGTGTGTGTGTGTGTGTGTGTGTGTGTGTGTGTGTGTATGTGTGTGTGTGTGTGTGTGTGTGTGTAACAGAGAGAGAGAGAGAGAGAAAGAGAGAGAGAGAGAGAGAGAGAGAGAACAGGTGGGAGAGGTGGATTGGAAGGATTCTCCGTAAAGCTCTTATAGAGAATGCGGACTTTTCAGCCTCCAATAAACAGACTATTTTGCTTTTTTACCCAAATGTTTTTGCGTTGTAGTGGCGTACGAAAAGAGAGGTTGGAAATGTTATATTCTTGCCTTGTCTTTGGAAATGAAAATCCTAGTATATTCTTTGATCCCAGTATATTTGTTGAAAACAAGATTCATAATACGTCTATCCGTGTAAATGGATATTTTGACATCTTAAGATATTTTATTTACATCCCGAACTCATATATTCATTCCTATATCGTTTTCATTTTTATGTTCTGGGTTGGTGGATCCATTTGCTAGCTCAAGCTTCCAACTACCAGTCATACCCCATTAAAAATACGTTGCGTGACGATATTTGCATGATTGATTGCCTGAACCAGTTTTTACTTTACATAACATGACAGCTCTCTTAAAAACAGCGACTTTATTAGCTAACCGTAATCCGCACTAGTTATGTACTGCAAAGCAAAATTTTCTCTTTCTTCCTTTCTTTTTTAACCTTTCTGGGGCGGTCTCATGCTTCTTTTGGTGATGGCGTAGTATGTGGCATACTGCACTTTGAAAGATAGATGCCTACAACTGTTAGGGTCTTTTAAATATAGTAACGCTCCTGTGGACAAAGCCGACAGAAAAGTGGGATGACATGGGATAATAGGCTTGACCAGGATAGGGAGAGGTTGAAAGTGTTTGTTCGTGGCCTTTATCCTGATGCGGGATGGGACAGACAGTTATGATGATGATTAAACGGTTCTCGGAGGGCCTTCCTCATTCCAGGTAAAAAGAGATGACACATATGTATTTGTATTGATCTCTCTTGAGCGAAATCACGAAAATACGAAAGTTCACGTTGGTGATAAAAGTAAAGTTGCCCCTCTTCCAAATTCAAACGTGCTTGACCTAGTGCTCAGATCCACGCTCACCGAGAGGACAGTGCGATTGCACAATTATATCTTTTTTAAAAACTGGATAGTGTAGGCTTAGATCACCATGGCTGGCCAAGGCATGGAGGAGGGGGTGCTTTAATTCTACAGAGGTGAATGAGAATGATTGGCATGGAGAGCAACAAATTTAAATGACATTTATCCTGGTTGGGGGGGGGGGGGGGTCCCCAACGCCAAGGTGGATCTTGCGAAAATCCTTTAAAATATACATGAGGTGTGCGGAAATGTGTTCCGAAAAAAGGTTTGCTTTTTTATTATCTAACA